AGATGATTAAAATAAAGTCGAACATTCGGTTGCTTCGATGTCAATACCACATTGATAATGATATCCGAGGGTAACCTTTAATAACCACGCCGAATGGAACTCTAGACTACCCATTATAAATAGTTTCTAATGCTTCAGACGATGATAAAATTCTGGTTTGGTACTTTTTCTACAATTCCCAGCCACGTAACATAGCAATGTGGAGACACTTGTTTCCCATCTGCGTTATATTCGCTACAATCAGGTCAACAAATAAAATCAGTTATTCCGTATGAAGAAATGCCTGCAACGAAGAACGCTCTATGCGTTCTCACCAGCTATCTTTTGCAATTCGGAATGCTTTGTTAATAGCACCTCTAGAGTCGAAATTGTGGCAAGGTTAGGTGACATCGACTTGATGTCGAGATCACCTCTCTCCAGACGGAGGTGGAGACTATTCCGCCTCCATTCTACCGATGACCTGGTAAAGCTTATGCACCCAACGACAAAAGGAAATGCATTGTCTCTCGTCCAATCTGTAAAATCACAGAGCTGCTTTGAGTGGGGTTCTGGTAGTTCGATGAGAAATGGCATCTTGTACCAGTCGCGCTCAAAAATAGAGCACAGCTTTGGAATGAGAAGGTAGCAAACCCATTTCATCGCATTTCGGCTCATCAGCTTGGTGCAGCGCTGACGTTGTTTAAAATTCTCGCTTGCCAACTCAAGTCAACTATAAAGCTGCTATCTGATTCAGTGGTTTCCGTCGTAAAACTCAAGCCAGCCAGATACCAATGCTGATGTTACGATCGAGCTCGCGTAATACCCATGAGGTTCAAGAAGGTTGCCGATTATAGATAAAAGGCGAAGGTAAGAGAGGAATGCGATGGCACTTTGTGTGGAAATTTAGTTGGTCTATCAGCAAATGAAGCTTTGATGACCTGTAGTAGAACGGGGATCGAGCAGAAGTTTGCGGTATCTCTGTCCACTAGTCCCAAGATTAATCACTCAAAGTACAATGCAATCTGAGCTTCATAGTAATGGAGAGAAGCTTCGAAATAACTTACGTCAGCGCTGTCGACCTCAGTAATTGGCATCTCCCAGGACATTTTGAGGCAGATGCACGCACTCTAGAGACTTGCGAACTGCTGATATCGGAGTCACCCTCCACGCTCAAACTCCTGAACTGCAATACAGGATTGTCGAAGCGCTAGATGGCCCCATTCCTCATACGCAGTCCTTCAGAGAAGTGAAAAACGCTTCTCTAAGCGATAATATCTCTGGCTTTCAACTACAAATTTGCTAACATTAGACTCCCGCAAACTTGACACTGATACAGCGATGTATGCTATAAAACTCGTTACAGTAGTAATAAAAAGGCACCCACGTCAATGTTTTGCCGGTTCTTCAATGCACGAAGAATGTGACCGATGTGGTGAACCAAATTTGACCTAAACTGACATACATTTCTCATACACGGCAAACGGGGAGAAATGGAAACGAATTTCTCAAAAGATAATCACTCCGATTTGCAGTCACGCATTTGCCAACATTGGATATCGACAATCGGCGAAGAATCCTCCACCCAAGCAGAACATAGCCCTCCCATCAACGCTTCGTCGACTTTTCATGACGCGAAGAAAGTGACACAGCTGGTATATTAAATCCAGCTTACCTTAATCCAACATACTGTGTCTCGAGTGTGTTTGTTAGCTTTATCGCATTTGTTATTTTTGAGCATTCAACCGGGACTTATTGAAACTGATGAATACGTCATTTACCTTCCTTTTAGCAAGTATTGGAATAAATTTGTACCAATTATTTTGCCTCATGGACTTTAACACACTTCCATTTAAACATAAAATAATTAAGTTGACAGCCTAGTTCTTGGACTAACGCAAAAATTAGTCTTAATGTTGAGCTAATGCTACGAGATCATCAAATGGTGGCAGCTTTTGTTTGTGTTTTTCCCTGAAGTGATTTAAATTCTCTGTATTGCGTAGATCTATGTACCAAATAGTTGAGACAATTGTAGAGGCTACGCGATATTATGTGGAACTTTTCTCACCAGGTTGTGTGCAGAATTTGCTCTTCACAGTTTGCGAGTGTTTCTTGCATACTGCTTTTGGTCAGCATGATATCTGTTTAAGTGTAACTTTCCACCGTTGTTTACTGCTTTTATCCAGCATGCAATTACTAGTCAACTGCTCACGTAGTCGACGAAGTAAACACAGCCAAAATACCCATCTCATGTCATTTTCCCTGGTTGAAGTGCCCAGCATGGGCTTTTTTGGGATAAATACAACTGAGGTGCAAAAGTCGTTTTCGATTGTTGCTCTAAGTCGGTATTTTGCTGTTTTCGCTGTTTGATGCTTTGCAACATATTGAGGAACGGGGAGTTATGCGAGATTGCGCAGGTGTATAGTTACTGTATTCATTGACTACTGTAATGGATTCAACTAAAAAACATAGTGCGTTCTCTGGACAACGGTTAGAATTCTGT